CCGTCGTATTGAGGATGTGGGCGGGGAAGGCAACCAGTTTGCAATGGCCAAGGCGCTGGCATCAGGCGACATGCGTCTGATTCAAAAAGCTGGCTTGGAGGCCGATATCGCGCGTCTTGAGCGTTTGCAGGCCGCACATTTCGATGATCAGTTCAATGTGCGCCGGCAGATCCAGAGAGCTGAACGCGACATCAAGACAGCGCAGGCACGGATCCCGAAAATTGAGGCGGCACTCACACAGCGTATCACCACGAAAGGCGAGGCGTTTGCGCTGCACCGTGACACCAAGGTGGTTGAGAGCCGTGAAAAAGCTGGGGCATGGATACTGTCGCAGGCGCGGCTTGCTGAACGGGAAGGCCGGACCGGGCAGTGGAGCATGGGTCGGATCGCCGGATTTGAAGTGATGTGCGAAGCTCATGAACAGCAGTTCAGAACGTCCGACAAGAGAAAACCAGAAGTAGTCTCCTCCATCTATCTGGATACACCTGCAGGAGAAATCGAGGTTGAGACCGATCGTGAGACCAAGCCTCTGGGACTGATTTCACGGATTGAGCACGCAGCCTTACGTCTGGACAGCGATCTGGCTGAAGCACGTCGCAGTCTGGATGAGGCACAGCGCCGACTGCCAGCTTATCGCGCACGAGAAGGACTTCCTTTTGCGGAAGCCGACGATCTCACGGCGAAATGTGCCGAGCTCTCCGCATTGGATGCTGAGCTGGAAGCGGAAGGCAAGGAAAAGGAAGCTACGTTGAAATCGGCGACAGCAAATGATGATACTGCTTCTGCTGTTGCAGAGAAAATTGAGCAGGTGGCCTAAGAAAATAAGAAGAGCACAAAGCCGAAAAGGGAAGGGCGGGCCACAGGCCGCCCACACGCCGCAAGGGTAAGCCCCGTTCCGGGGCCGCGCTGACGCTCGCCCTTGCCCCGTGTAGGCGTCTGTGACCGTGCCGAAGGTATGAGGTCAGAAAATGACACCTCATGACCCTGAAAGTGAGGAGAGTATCATGACGGAACTTCGCCGCGTCGATCCCAAAACACTCGTACCAAACCCGAATAATCCACGTAAGACCCAGCCAGATCCTCGTGCGGAACATCAGCTTGCGCTGAATATCAAGACAGTGGGCCTGATTCATGCTCCCTGCGTGCGGGAACTTGAGGACGGTCGGTTGATGATTGTCGCTGGTCACAGGCGGGTGCGGGCCTGTATTGCGGCGAAATTGACTGAAATTGACGTGCATGTCCGTTCTGGTGATGAAAAAAGCGATACGATGGCCGCTGTTGCCGAGAACGTCGTGCGTGCCGATATGACGGAATCCGAACAATGGCGTGGTGTGCTGGATATGCGCGAGAAGGGCGCTACTGATACAGAAATCTGTCGGGCTTTTATGGTCACACCAGCCTATCTTCGTGGCTTGATGCTGTTGTCCCAAATTCATCCGCCCATTATTGCGGCAATCGATAGTGGGATTGGGCCTTCCTATACTGACAGGAACGCAATTGCGCGCACTCCGCTGGAGCGCCAACGCGATGTATGGGCCGAGATCTGGGCGGAAAGCGCTGACGAAGGAGCAGATCCGGCCGACTATGAGATGAGTAGGGAAGACGCCACACATTTCGACTGGTCGGAATTTGTAAGATATCTTGATCAGGTCGAATTATATGCTCGCAACTACGAGTTTGACGACGAGACTGCAAAAGAAGCTGGTGTCGTCTGGGAAGAAGATCTCTTCGGGCAGGGTGGAGAAGATAATCGATACTGCACCCAATATGCCGCTATGTTTAAGGCGCAGCAGATTTGGGCCGAGAAAACTAAGCCTGAAGGAACCATTTACCTCCAGAGCAACGAATATGGGGAAGGACTTGCACCAGACGGATACCGGAAGGTGGGGTCCTGGGAAATGGAATGGGACGAAGATATCCCGGCGATCTGGGTTAACCCACGCACACTGCAGATTCAGAAAGGACGGGTACGCGAACTGGGAGAACAGTCCACCCGCAGGACAGAAAATGGCTCCCTTTCTTTACCGTCAGCCCAGAAACCCGAAAAACCTAAAGAGCGCCCCGATATTTCAGGCACAGGGCTTAAAATTATCGGGGATGTTCGGACACAGGCTTTGCGTCAGGCGTTGGATGCAGCACGAGAAAATGCAGATCCCTGGGATCTGGTTGGTGCTTTCATACTGGCTTTGAGTGCCAATAACGTAAAAATCCACGGTGATGATACATATGAGCCTTATGGGAGTGTTACTGAGCGTGACCTGGCTGTCGCCCGCATTTTCCCTGAAGGTGTGTTGGTTCGTGACCCGGATCTTCTCAGAAACGCAGCATTGGGTGTGCTTAGCACGTTCATGAATTGCGGCCTCAGTCAGCATAGCGGTAGCGGTTTGCCCGCCCAGATCCTTGGGGTGTTGTTTGGTGCAGACGCGCATATGCCCACAATGGCCTTCGAAGACTTTCTTAAAAGTTACAGTAAACCGGGTATTACCAAAGCTGTTCAGGCTGAAGGTCTGAAAGAAAAACCTACTGGTAAAGCGATGCGCGAAGCGCTGATGGCCCATTTAGGCGAAAAACGATGGGTGCCAGAACCCGCTACATTTGCAGCAGGTCTTTCAGAGTGGAAAAGCAAAATAGAGAACCAGGCTGCGCGGCTGGAAGCTCGGGCACGTTTTGCGGCGCAGATGGAGGAAGAAGAAGGTGATGCCGATACTGACGTCATAACTGACAATGAAGAGGATGATAACTGTGAGGAGGGTGGGGATCTTGACGAAGGCCAGACTGATCAGGAGAGCCTGTCTGATGTTGATGAAAGTGCGCATAACGCTACTATTCCCGACGATCCACGCATCCCCAGCGAACTGACAGAGCTGGCCCGTGCGATGCCTGAACGTCTTGAAGTTATTATGGTCTGAGTAATAAGGCGATCCGTCCCTACGGGTCGCCTTATTTGTAATGTCCTATGATCATTTGAAAGGTCATTCAGAAAGTTAAGAAAATAAAAGGAAATATTTGAAAGTGAAGGGCCATAGTCTGGAGGCTGAAGCAAACGGTGGGTTCTCTCCATGCTCGACCGCGTAGCGGTCTGCGCGTGGCTCCGATCCCGGTGCTTCGCACCGCGTTTGCCTCAGCCTCCAGACTATGACGGCCGCTCTGGTATCAGAAAGTGTAATCTTAAAAAGGATGCATTTTCTGGAAATAAACCCAGATAACGGAGAGTTTTATGTCCGATATATTAGAACCGACACACGCTCTTACATCCCAGGCCCTCGCCGGATTTACAGGAACAGTGAAGTATTACCGGTGGCATAGCGGGCTCATTCTGACTGATGGCGCACGTTACATCGCAGCAAATGGTGCCGCGTGGCTGATTGATATACTGGCAAGCGTTCAGCATTTGCCGACTATGCGCGAGGAAGATCGACAGTTCTGGACCTTGAAGGTTGATCTCGAAAAACACACAGCCGTTATTATTTGCACCGATGGAGATAAGACAGGGGATGGGGAAGTCGAACTCTATCGTCAAGACATCCCTTATACGGATTTCCCCCTAAAAGAAGCCAAGTTATACGCTTTCAGTGAACCCGGCATAGGGCGAATTGTCCTGCTTCCCAGCGAATACTGAAAACGCTGACGCTCTCTACTGTAAGGCCGCCCTGAAAGGCGGTTTTTTTTATATCTGCCATCCAACTGCACCACAAAATACCATGGTGATAGGGACGTTTTGAAATGTGCAAGACACTCGATGTGACACGACTGACATGTGGTCGATATGTTGTGGAAACGTGCCTTCGGCCTGATGGAGCCGTTTTTTTACGCACCCCGGAAATAGTCCCGGTCAATGCCCGCAACTGGCATGGTCCATATGAAAACATGAATGCTGCGATCACTGATTTTTTGGACCGGACGGCAATACCGAAGATCACACGTAAGAAACTCTCCTCTCTGCGCGATCACGGCTATGCCGGGGATGTTGGTGGGAAGGAGATGATCCTCCATCTTGATCGCTGGACCGGTGCCACAACGCTCAGTGATTTCGAATTGGTCGACGAGAGCATCCAGACCTGATTTCCTTTCATCCGCATCTCTCAAAATTTGTCAGGAGAATGATCTCATGTTGAAACACACGATCGTTTCTGGAAACCACTGGCTGCGTCCTGCAAAGCCGACCCGATGGATCTGTACAGATGAACCGGTCACATGCCGGCGGTGCCACATCGAGTGGCTGGACGGTGACCCGGCATTATCCATTGAGTGTCCTGGCTGTGGTGCGGAAGCTGGCTATCCTTGTCAGCGGCCCCAGGGAGGGAATGAACGTGTCTGTTTCCAGCGTGACCGTCAGGCTATTCGCAATGGTCTGCTGATGCCATGCGAAGGTTTATCGTGGGATGGACGGCACGATAAGCGTCTGATGATGACGTCACATCCTCACCCTCACGCCATTCCAATTCTGAGTGGCGCACCAGTAAGCCGATTTACTGCGTAAGGGATCATCTCACGTGATTCAGGTGTGTCCAATATGGGCACATGTTCAGATTTTCCATGATGAGGAAGAAGTCTTTCCTAACATGAAGGATGAAGCACGTCACGTCCTGTTTGAGATGTGAAGACGAAAATCAAATCAAAAACAAAGAAAGAGAAAAACAAGAACAACAAAGAATGTGCACCAGAGCGCCGCGGCGGGGGCAAGAGGTGGGTTCTCGCCATGCTCGACCGCAAGCGGTCTGTGCGTGGCTCCGATCCCGGTGCTGACGCACCGCTCTTGCCCCCGCCACGGCGCTCCGGTCGCGCGAAAGTATCCAAAAGGAAAAGGACACCGACGATGCGCGATACGAAACTCCCTCTCCCCACAACAGCACGCGATTATCTGGAACTCGCAGGTTTCCTGCTGGGGACAATTCTTCTGGGGCTGACACTTATGATCTTGATCTGCGGACCCGCATTCGTACTGCCCCACAGCCTGACCTTTGCCGGTTTGGGTTAACGCCTAAGGAGAGGAATAGATCATGACCAAACATGAACGTATCGATCTCTATCAGGATGTGACCAACCGCATCGTGGAGCAGTTAGAAAACGGAGTAGCCCCATGGGTGCAGCCTTGGTCTAATACCGCTTCAGGCCCGTCACTTCCACTCAACGTCACCACAGGTCGCCGATATAGCGGTATCAACGTGCTCCTGTTGTGGGGAACCGTGCAGATGTGCGGTTTTACCTCTCAGAGATGGCTGACGTTTAATCAGGCACGAACAGTTGGTGGGAGTGTAAGGAAAGGTGAAAAGGGCACAACCGTTTTTTATGCTGACAGCTACGTGCCCGGTGGAAATGAGGCTGATGAAGATGAGCGTGCCGTTCGGTTTCTCAAGCGCTATACGGTTTTCAACATTGATCAGTGCGAACACCTGCCCGAAGACATGACAGGATCGGTCGCACCGTTACCGGAGCGCGAAATCGTCCCTCATGCAGAAGCTTTGCTGCAGGCCACAGGTGCGGATATTCGAATTGGTGGTGACAAGGCATTTTATGCCCCAGATCCAGACTACATTCGGCTTCCCCCACAGACTGCTTATTTTGAGCAGATCAACTGGTATCGCACGGCTTTCCACGAAACCGCGCACTGGAGTGGCCATACAAGCCGTCTGAACCGAGACCTGTCAGGTCGGTTTGGTTCTCACAAATACATGGTAGAAGAGATCGTGGCTGAGCTTACGGCGGCCTTCGTTCTTTCCGACTTGAACATCTCGCCGACAGTGCGACACGCTGACTACATTGGGAGTTGGATTGCCCTGTTGAAAGAAGACAAGCGTGCCGTTTTTGCAGCAGCTCGTCTCGCGACACAGGCAGCGGAATACATACTTGGTTTCCAGAGTAAGGCTCCACGGTTACCCGCAGAACTTTCACGGATGGCGGCCTAATGGGACGAGGGATGCGGGCACTCGTGTCCGTATTCTGGGCTAACCCGAATACGATGCCCCCTCCAACAAGTGACACATTGCCGGACGGCAAGAGTTTATGGCTCTGCACCATACTAGACCGGAGTGTAGAGCGAGAGATCATCTCTCACTATGCACCGCGTGTCCGCCCTGGTTCGGGGTGGTCACACAGCTGGTCTCCTTTGCTCGACCCACCCAAACGCTGGAGTGGCACACGCAAAGCGGCAGCACGTCGTCGCAACCTGCGCCGACGATTGGAAAAGGCAGTTCCACTCTTTGCCGATCAGTTCGAGAAGCAGGAACTCCAACGAAGGCCGGACTACTTCGATCCAGACAGTATTGAGCGCGAACAGTGCAATAAAAACTGATTACTGATCGCTCAAAATACCCACGCACGGGAAAACACTGATCATGAATAGACAATATTACACGTCACCTTTTCAGGGGGGAGACAATCCGTTGCGCGTCGGAACCATAGCCCTTGGTGCAATTTATCACATGCCACTTGGCGATTTTATCGGTCCGCGTGAGCCATGGATCGTCGAAGCATTTTTGAACGGCCAGTATCATGCTGCCCGTCGAGATCCTCAGACTGGGAAATGGCAGAGTGTGTTTGTTAGCGGCCGGTCAGGCCGTGCTCAACTTCGTAACCTTGCTACAGGAAAACGCATGATATTGGCCACTCACTGGTTGGTCAGTAGCGCGCGGCAATTTGGTGATGAGAACTCTTATCCCAAGCTTCCCGATATCGGAAAATTCTACAGAATATCCGAGAGAAAAGGGAAAGAGATACGAAGTTAAAATAAAGAAAAAGAAGGAAGAAAGAAAAGACAACACACTGCCGCACATCTTTCCGGGTCTGTGCGGTGTGAAGCGGCCGTCGTCGTGGTCAAGCCCCAAGCCTTCGGTCGTGACGGCACCGTGAAGCCGCATGCGGCTTCCGCACCACTGCCGTCCCGAGGGCCTGACCCCGCCGCCTATGGCCGCTTCTTAAGGACCGCACCCGGAAAGATGATGCGGCAGCGGGCCGTCTCAAGATCCGGGAAGAACAGAAAGAAAATCTGTCATGCGCGGAACAATCAATCGCGTCATCCTGGTGGGAAACCTCGGCAAGGATCCCTTGCGAGAAGATCTGGAAAACGGGGCAAGTCGGGTTTCATTCCCCTTGGCGACCTCAGAGAGCTGGTCAGATCAGTTTCAGGGCAAGCGGAAACAAATGCGAGAATGGCATCAGATTGTCTGTCTCGATCAACGTCTTGCTGATCTGACAATGCGCAAATGCCGAAAGGGCACTCAGGTTCTGGTTGAAGGACGCCTGCGCGCCACACTCGTGAGTGAAGGGCCGGCGCAGTGGGTGCGAACCGAGATCGTCATTGATGGATCTGGTTGCGACATCACAATTCTCGAACTGAGCAAACCGATCAGGCGGAAAGCCAGAAAACCACGGGCTCGCAAAAGCTGAAATCCTAAAATTCAAACGCAAAGGACAAACGTCATGACGACGCAGATGACACCCTTATCTTCCGTACGCCCGAATGCTCGTTCGTGCTGGCGCCAACTGTCGTCAGAAGCTTCCTTCCTGGATTATAGCATCGGCTGCCACGCCCTTCCGTCTCGTCTTGAAGCGGCTCTGCGGCGTAAAGCGGTGCGGGCACGGCGTAAAGCCTGGGAACATATGCTCGATAGCAGCCACCCGGGGCGTCGGTCATGAACACATCACAAATCGTCATTGGCCATAATTTTTCAAACTCGTCGCATCATGCTCTCGCAGGATGGATCTCCGAGAGAGGAGATCCGACATGCACCCAACTGCTTGCAGGCCGACTGCCAACAGTCAAACGCGCCTACAAAACACAGGGCTTGCGGAAAGGAAACATAGCTCTCTCGCGATCTGTTACGTCAATTCGGGGAGTGCGGGTCATGTCGGATAACCGAGCCATCGACGCACAACGGGATGAGCTTGCAACACTACGTGAGCGCGTTCGGTGCGAACTTGTCCTAGAACGCGAAGGCTATCGTCTTGACAGAGAAGCCACAGCGCAACGGTCGGCCAAAAACCTGAAGTTCCGCCGTGGTGAAGGCGAAATCATCATTGTAAACCACGGTGGCAAAGGCTGGTGGGATCCGACAAATCCTGATCGTAGCGCGCGTGGTGATGTCATCAAACTGGTCCAACACCTCAAACCCGGCCTTAATCTTGGCCATGTGCGGCGCGAGTTACGCAACCTGATCGGTCTGGAGCCGAGCTACGAAGTCAGAGAACGGACCAAACCGACTTCGACTGACACGAACCAGAAACGTGATCCAGCATGGATGTGGGAACATCGTAATCCACCCCAGCAGGGATCAGCTGCATGGCGCTATCTTTCAGAAGAGAGAGGACTGCCTGATCGCATACTGGACGCTGCGGCTAAACAAAACCTGTTACGAGAAGGTCCCAACGGCACAGCCTGGTTTGCGCATCGTGACAATCAGGGAGCGTTGAGCGGCATGGAAATGCGTGGGCCTGAGTACCGTGGCTTTTCAACCGGGGGCATTGGCAAGCGGTTATTCCGGTTTGAGTCTGATCCAGGTGTACCACCCTCACGTGTCGTCGTGGCCGAAGCAGCAATAGATGCTCTGTCTTTCGCCTCTATGGACCGTTTTTCCCGCAACACGCTTTACTTGTCCACGGGTGGAGGCATGAGCCCGGAAAGTGTCGCTGAGCTGAAGCAGGTGCTGACGGATGTGGCACAACGGCCAGAAGGCCGTCTGGTTATCGCGGTCGATAATGACCAGCAGGGTGATCACTATGCTGCAATGTTTTCAAAAATGGCACAGGAAGTCGGGTTGTGGAATGGCCGGGCCTCTCCAAAAACACCCGGATCTGACTGGAATCAGGTTTTAAGGGCACGCGGCAACAAGGAAAGTTCAGCCCCGCGCCCTTTTGGCGAACTGGCGGGATCAGCGACAACCACCACACCACACCCTCAGGTCGCAGCAGGATGGGTCGATGATCTCAAATCACGTAAACGCCAGCAATCCCAGCCCGTCCCTCAGGCAGAGCAGGCTGCGCCATCTGTAAGGCGTTCTGGCTCACCCTCATTGGGAGGTCGATAACGTCATGTTCGACCAGAATTATCATGAACAGAAAAGCGAAATCCACGATCCGAAGTGGAGACGCGCAATACTGACAGTTTTTCACAGCACTGAACGCGCAAGGAATGTGTGGGAAAATCGATGTTCCAATCCTGCTCAGACACCTTGCCAGTTTGTCAGCTGCACCGATGGAACACGTGATCTGATTGGCGTGGTGATCGGTGGAACGATGCCAGAGGCTGCAGACTCAAGGCTCTGGGACTTGGAGTGTGCGTTCACCATGCTCACTGAAGATGCCGAAATCCTGATTGTTAAAGGCTGGTACGCCACAGCAGTCGAGCAGGTCGTTGAGGATATCACAGAAGGAATTGAAGCCATGAAATCAAACGAACAAACATATCGCGATGACGTTCTTGACCTTCTGGTTATCAAGGCGGGTCTTGCGCAGCAGCTTGATCAGTCACCAGCGGCAAAAGCGTTCTGGGATATCCATCTTGATCGCCTTGGGGCAGCAAAATGGCCTGAGGGGCCTTTGCCACAATGTCTTGTGCGTTTTGATGAGCGAACCGGTGCCAAACTCGGTCTCGTTATCAGTGGCGTCTGGGTCGAGCGTTTGGGAGACTGGGATCTGAATGAGCCATTTCTTGTGCTCTCAACGGATGGAGAAATCCAGCGCTGTGAGGGGCGCATTGTGGAACAGGTCAGTGTGTTATGAGCGCCTCGCTGAGCATCCCGCCGCGTCTCGCTCCTGTGCTGGACGACCTCACTCCAGCGCAGCGTGCTGCAGCTTTGGCGCTAGGCCGCGTTCTGGTGCTTGCTGGTGCTGGGACAGGGAAGACCAAGACCCTGACGGCTGGTGTCGCCACGCGGATCGAACTGTATGGTATGGAGCCATCACGTATTCTCTGCGTGACGTTTACCAACAAGGCGGCCCGCGAAATGCGGGAACGGATTACACGGGCTTGCGGAGAGGGGATGGCACCTTCATGGCTCGGGACATTCCACGCGCTGTGCGCCCGTCAGTTGCGCGCAGAACCCGATATTGCCTATCTGCGAGCGGGATTTGATATCAGGGACGCTGATGACACGCTTGCCATTGTTCGTCGCCTGATTAAGGCGACCCCCGTGGAGCAGTTGCCCCGCCCAGAAGAGGGAGAACCTGGAGATGCGCGTCAGATCGCCAAGATGGCCGAACGGATTTCTCGTTTGAAGGAAGATCTGGTGACGCCAGATATGGCGGGGCATCATGTTGAAGCCATGATAGCGCGAGCACACACTCAAAAACGTTTTGTGGACGATGCAGGCTGGCGTTTTGTCGTCGGGTTGTATGGGCGCTATCAGAGTTTGCTGCGCGAACAGAATGCTGCGGATTTTGGCGATCTGCTGATGTGGCCTACCTTGGCCATGCTCAAAAACGAGACCTATCGCTATCGGTGGTCTCGTCGTTTTACATCTGTCATGGCCGACGAATTTCAGGATGTGAACCGCGCCCAGTTTCTCTGGCTCAAAATGATCTCTGAGGTGTCAGGAGAACTTTTTGCTGTGGGGGACGATTCACAGAGCATCTATTCCTGGCGTGGAGCAAAAGTCGGTTTCATACGAGGGTTTTCTCAAGAGTTTCCCGAAGCCAAGACATTCAAACTTGAAGAGAACTTTCGCTCGACCGCTCATATTCTTGACGCATCCAATGCAATTATTGCTCAGGATCCTTCACGTATTCCAAAGACCTTGTATACACGAAAAGGTGCAGGCAAGCCCATCGAAGTGTTGCAGTTTTCCTATATCAGCGAGGAGGCTGACGCTATTGCCGCCGAAATTGGCAGGCGGGCCGCCGCAGGATGCCCGTGGCATGATATCGCCGTGATCTATCGTCAGAACCGTCTCAGCCGCTCGATAGAGGAAGCACTGATACAGGCGCGGGTGCCTTATGAAATTGTTGGCGATGTCGGGTTTTATCAACGTGTTGCCGTCAAGGATGCCCTTGCTCTGGTCTCTCTTGCCGCACGCCCGGATGACCGACAATCCGATGAAGCCTTTCGCCGGGTAGCAAATAAACCATCCCGCGGTCTTGGAGCAAAGGGGCTGGGAGCTATTGAACTCACTGCGCGCGAGCAGGACATATCCTTACTCTGCGCTGTCCGTGAGACACGTCTCTCCCAGAAAGCGGCGACCGCCCTTACAGAGTTTGAGCGCGTGGTGAGGGAGGTTGGGGCACAGGAGAACCTGAGCGTCGGGGATCGGATGCGCCTCTTACTTGAAGATACTGGCTATTTCGACATGCTTCGTGCTGATGACAGTGATGAAGCTGCGACACAGATGGAGAACCTTGCTGAGCTGGCCGATGTGGCTGACCGTTATCGCAAGGTTGACCATCTGATGGAACACGCTGCCCTGGCCTCAGGCGCACCTGGAGAAAAAGGGAAGGAGCGTGTGCAGCTGCTGACGATGCATCGTGCAAAGGGGCTTGAGTTTCGACATGTGTTTCTTCCTGCGTGGGAAGATAGTCTATTCCCAGGAAGTAATGCACGGAATCTGGATGAAGAGCGCCGACTGGCCTATGTGGCCCTGACGCGAGCCATGGAACAGGCAACCATCACCTGCTGCGATTATCGACAGGGAACATCGTCCATCCCGTCCCGGTTTTTGGATGATATCCCCTCCAATAACCGGATACGACACTGGAACTGGCAGGACGGTCGTGGATCACTGTCCAATAATCGGCCGGCATGGGAACAGACTCAACGTGAACTGAATGCGTTGGGGATCTGATCGTGGATATTCTTACCAATAAGCAAGCGCGATTGCCCGCCCAGTTGCCCGCTCGGCGCTGGGCCCATTATTGCTGCGTTTGCAAGGCGGGAGCGGTATTCGGTGCGAACACGCATCCAGGCGAGATAATGTGGTACTGCGCAAAACATCGGTCTCTGATGCGCCCTGTGCCACCAGGCCCCATGCCGCGGACATCGGGAAGAGGCTGATGGGGGCTGGACGTTGGAAGGGGGTAATGTTGGTGCTTACCCTGATGGTGTTCGGTTTTCATGAAACACGGGCCTACGGAAAGGAAGGCTGCCAGGACCTGTTCTATAAAGGACAAATGCCAGTTTTGGGCGGCGAGTTCGGTCACGGGACAGTCCTGTGCAACACGGCGTATGCCGCTATGGACTCTTCGCTTTCAAAAGGCCCGATCTGGTCGGCAGAGTATATTGTTGAAGAAAATCTTAAAGTTGCGGCCCGTACCCAAGCGAGAAGGCTATTTCTATCCGGACGCCCGGCTTCCTGCAGGCTACCGTGGAGAGTTGGCCGACTGGAAGCATAGTGGCTGGGATCGAGGACATTTGTCTCCGTCGGGTGATTTCGCTGGCCTCACGGCTCAACAGGAATCCTATGCATTGTCTAATGTTGTCCCACAGGCTCCGGGTTTGAACCGCGGAGCATGGGAGGGAATTGAGGCCGCTGTTCGGGGGCTCGCGAATGCTGAGGGAGAACTCTATGTCGTGACAGGAGTGCTGTTTTCTCATCACAGAGTCAGTGTCGGCCCAGATAGAGTCATGATCCCATTGCAGAAGGTGCCGCTGTGTATGTCTGTGCAAACACCAATCAGCCTGATTGTAAGATAGTCTCTTTAGAAGTTTTGTCCCGTTGGGCCGGTATCGATGTATTTCCGTCTCTGGCAGTCTCTATCAAACAGCACATCATGCCGATGCCCGCCATAGAAGAGAGCCCATATGCGGCAAGTGTCCGAACCGAACAGTCCAGAGCAAATGGATTTAGCTGGAATGATCGGCGCGTCAAAGAAGTGTTGCGTTTACTGCAGAAAGCACTCGGTCGATAGGTTGTAAATCTTTGTTATTTCCAGATAAAAAGCCAAAACACTTTGAATTTCAATTGATATTAAAGTATTGTCTCAGGAAATACAGAGGGTGTAACAATGGAGAAAACACTTATCGCACTGGCAATTAGTCATGAAGAATCACAGCGCCGTCGGCGAGCTGTCGAAGAAGCGCGGTCAGCTAATTTCCGGCAGGGCTATCGTCACGATGCCGTTCTGGAAGAAGCTAATGAGCGCTTTATTCTTGGTTTGATTTCGCTGGATGATTTAAAAAAGAAATGCGGCAGGCCATTCAGAATAACCGTTGAGCGCTCAAGAATGTCAGAGCATGATTTGGAGCACGGGGTACACCTACCCCAATGTGTCAGATGATCCGGATCAGCGCGATGTCTTGAGGGACCGCTTTGGTTGCCGCAGTCACATGACATTGAGCCAAAGCGAGTATTGAATTACCAGTGATCGACGGATCGAAATTCAGCTCGGTATGCGAACTGCGGGACTCGAACCCGCACGCTTCGGTCGCAACCAATCAGACAACCTATTGAAACAGAACGATAATTTCAGATGAAATCATCCTTCACATGGTGACTGCGGGTTCACTCTGTGGGCAAACCCGTGGGGCAGTCAAGGTAGTTAACGAAGGACTATAGATATTTTTAAACGTAAAGCACTTCTTGACGTATTTCATGTAAAGTCATACATTACATACATGGAGATAGACAGTATCGCTCATAAAGGGCTCCGGCGTTTCTTTGAAACTGGGAATGCAAAAGGACTGGTCGGAGACATCAGTCGTTTGCGAAAAATGCTGGCCTTTATTGATGCTGCCGGATCTTTGGAAGAATTGTCTGTGCCTCCAAATTATGGATTGCATCCGCTAACTGGCGACCGGGCAGGCACATGGTCAATGACCGTTACGAAAAACTGGCGTCTGACATTCAGAGTGAGCGAAACAGGTGCTCTTCTGGATATGACATTGGAGGATTATCATGGCTCTTAAAATGCACCCCTCTCTGGCGGTTCATGTAGGGGACTGGATAAAAACAGAACTACTGGAACCCCATAACATCCGTGTGAATGCTGTCGCCGAGCATTTTGGGGTTTCTCGCCAGTCCATCAGTGCGTTACTGAATGGCCGGGCACGCTTATCAGCAGACATGGCTATCCGCTTTGAGAAAGCTTTTGGTATTAGTGCCGAGACGCTGATGCGGATGCAGAGCACGTTCGATTTGGCGCAGGCACGTGTCCATGAAGGTAATCTGGAGGTGAGTGGTTTCTTTGGTCAGGCTCAGAAACCTGTCGGATATCGGGTTTCTCAATAGCTTATTTTTAAAGGGAGCCAGCAGTGCTCAATGGCTACCCATTGAGCAGCAGGCAAGGGGGAATGCTTCCCCCGTTGACCCCCTTGTCTAGTTAGTTTTCCAGAATATCCAGAGCTGGCAAGGTTTTTACGATTTTCATGGTTTTAAGGCTGATAGTCAGTACCCGAAGGAACAGTTCCAACGGGTAACGTGGGTTACCCATAGTTTCGATAGCCCAGTCATTGGCATCATTTACAATACCGCTGGCCTTGTCGGTTTTGACGCACTGACGTTCGACAACCCACTCCAGTGCAGCCTTGCCATTTACAATGTAATCGTAGGCTTCCAGTGGGATACCGGTTATGGTGATACGGTCATTGTAATGCAGGACGCTTTTGTCTTTACCCTTGCCGTATTTCATCTTTTCAACCCGGAAGGCTTCAGGTGACAGGGGGCCTTTGCCATAATCGACCTTTACACCCTCGTAGATGGGCTGGCTGTCAAAATTGACATGCATTTCTCCAAGTCTGCGACCTGCATCGCTGAATGCTATGAACGCCTCATATGTTTTGACACGAGGAATGCGGGGTAACTCTTTGCGTAGGGTGTCAGCATAGCGTTGCCGATATTCCTCAGAGTGCAGGATACCGTAGACGTAATAGAACAACTCTCTCTTGCTAATGGTCTGGCCCGGATAAGCATCTTGGAAATGCTTTAATCCTTCATCTGTAATGGCCTCACGGCGTACAAGGCGTGGCTGAGTTGAGGGCTGTTCAAAGAGGCTACCTTGAGAAATGCTCATTGGTTGTCCTCCGTGTCGTAAAGGAACATCGGGAAGCATTGGCTGCCATCTATGTCCACCATATGCAGGCTCGGAATCGCATTGGTCATCAGAACACTGAAGGGAGCTTTCTGTCCCCCCGCCGGATGTGCAGATAACCAGATTTATCTCTTGACACTCTGTCAGGCAGCGCGTTTGCTCTGTTGCTCTGTTGCTCTGTTGCTCTGTTGCTCTGTTGCTCTGTTGCTCTGTTGCTCTGTTGCTCTGTTGCTCTGTTGCTCTGTTGCTCTGTTGCTCTGTTGCTCTGTTGCTCTGTTGCTCTGTTGCTCTGTTGCTCTGTTGCTCTGTTGCTCTGTTGCTCTGTTGCTCTGTTGCTCTGTTGCTCTGTTGCTCTGTTGCTCTGTTGCTCTGTTGCTCTGTTGCTCTGTTGCTCTGTTGCTCTGTTGCTCTGTTGCTCTGTTGCTCTGTTGCTCTGTTGCTCTGTTGCTCTGTTGCTCTGTTGCTCTGTTGCTCTGTTGCTCTGTTGCCTATACAAGTATTCAGGGAAACACTGTGAAGCTCGGCCATCTGCAAAACAGAGATCAGGTGTACTTTTGGCCATCAATGGGGTGAACTCATTGAGAGCGCCTGCGCCACGAAAGCAGATAGCTAAGTTATCTGCTTCAGCATTGGGGAAAAGTCGTGGCATTTGGTAAACCATTTCATTCATACGTCTGTCGAAATAGAGCCATTGAGGCATGAACGGTCGGTAAATTGCTTTAACAAAAGCGGTTTCTGAAAATGATAATTCTTTGTTACGCACCAAATCCTGCTTTAAGGCGCGAGTCCAACTGATTTTGGTTGGGTCTGTGTCAATAAATCTATCTATCGCGTTTTCTCTTTCTTGTTTTTTCGAAGTTGGAAGAGTTTCGTTAAATCGATTCAATTCCTGATTATAGGAAGCAATGGTGGTCTGTATGTTTTGAGCCAAATTGTCTTTGCCTGAGTTGTAACACCAGGCATCGCGTTGTGTTTTTACGCCTGCTGAATAAATGGAAAACAAGGTTGCCCCAGCATCTTTATCTTTGCTTCCAATAGAAATGAATTTTTCGAAGCTGTCGTCCCTCTGCCTTAGCCAGTCGCCATGCTCATCTGGGGCAACATTTTGCCATAGGCCTGCTTCGGTTAACCCGTTTATGCTGGTTAATTCTCTAATTTTTTTCAGTTTTTGCTCGCGTGTCAGGTAATCCCCAATATCATGAAACAGGATGTGTCCCTGTTTTTTTGCTTCAGGGTTTTTTACCAAAATGGAAATGGCTGGGGGAACCATAATATCAAAAATATTACCGCCTTCCCGTTTGGCTAAATCCCCGGATTTTCCGCGGATGCCGCCACGTAAGTGAAAGACAAAGAGAGAGGAAAATTCTTCTCCTAAGCATTGACGAAGACCATTTGCGGAGTTGGATTCCAGAAAGCCCGCGTTAGTTATGAAGCCGATAACACCACAAGTTCCAACACGGTCAGAAGCCCAGCGAATAGCTCGAATATAGCTGTCATAAAGAGCACGTTTGTTTGTTGCCGTTGTTCGCTTTGCGTAGGTTTCGGCAATACGGGCATCCAGTGCGGGGTAAGCCACATTCTGGTTGTTATCGTTCCCGCTTGCCTGTCCGACGGAATAGGGCGGGTTGCCCATAATGACGCGGATATCGAGCTTTTTCTGTTTTTTGATACGTTTATTGTTGTCTTCCAGTGTGGAACCAATCAGGTCATGCGCTTCATTCAGGCGGAAGGTATCTGTCAGGCAAATACCTTCAAATGGCTCGTACTTCCCGTCCATGAGGTCAGAGAAGGTCGCTTCGATGTTGATAGAGGCAATGTA